GTAGTGGTAGTGGTAGTGGTAGTGGTAGTGGTAGTGGTAGTGGTAGTGGTAGTAGTCAGTGGAAGTAGTAGTAGTCTTAGTAGTGGTACAAATTAGTTGTCGTTGCAGCTATTCTTACTTTGTGCTATCCAATGCCCTTAAATCGTCCTAACCCACCTCGTGCCTGACCTCATAATTCGTGCCTGTTCACCTCGTTACCTCGGCTGGGGTCGCTCTAATTTGCGCAGCACCATGACAAAAAACATGACACAGCACAGGCACACCATGACACCCCACAAGATCACGTGAAAAATAACGGCAAGCGACGGTAAAAGGTTGTAACTGCAACTGGAAAGATCTCTACTTACCGTGATGAACAGGGTGTTTCCGGATTGACTCACTTCTAAATATTGCTCGAAACACATCAACAAAAACTGAGTGAAACACAAGCGGCAGGCTGAATGTGCAATTTGCAGAAGAGAAGGAACACAAGGAGATCTCTCACTCACATTAAATGCTAGCTCCACTGATGGAGATGAGAACCATGATTGGACCCATTCAAGCAACATGAGAACCATGGGCCACTTAGTTTTGTTAGGTTCTAGTGGCACTTTGCCTTCTAAATCTTTCAGTGCAAGCTCGAAAGCACTAACTCCACAGAATGCCTTCGCACAGCCACCTTCTTGTTACCCCCCAAATCGTTTCATAGCCGAGGTACAGCTCCAACTGTCTCCCTCGGACATCATCTCTGTGCCAGACTTAAAGCAATCCCATGAGCCGACGATACCTGGATGGTGAGAGAAGCACAAAGCTTAACATGCGGCCTGGCACCTTTGGATTGTATTGAAGGGACAGGTGTAGGGGCGTGAGCCTCCTACAGGCGATTGGTATCGTTAGTTGTTTCTTACCTTTTAGCTCTATTTCTGTATTGGCCCTCCAAAGTTGAGCACGAAGCTCTATTGCGGCCGTGTAGGGTTACCTTGGTGGGTGATCCGGAGAATCTTGTTTGCCAAACAGGTGTTCTCCAAAGTGGATGATAGAATGCAAATGATGCATGGCCATTGGCTAAACTAATCAGCTGGGTTTCGATCGAGCATCCGAATAGCCTATGAACAACAGCTGAGTATCACAACATCAGGAACCAGAACAACGCAAACTCTCTGCGGCCTTCCATCTGGGTTCTTTTCAAGCTAGTTCCAAGCGGCACATGCCGGCATCTGGACGGTCCAAAGCAACCTCTTCGGGCGGGCTCATCTGATATTTCCCCTCGTAGAGGCTGCTGTTGTAGTCATAATTGTCCTTGTGACAGCAGCGTGATCGAACCTACGCACTGCCACTCGTTGAGAAACCGCACCGTTCTCCTCTCTGGAGACCGTTCTCCATTAAGCCCTGAACATGGGACTCCAAGCACCTGCAGGTGTGCCTCCCAAGAAAAGAAACCTCTTTGATTGGAATTGCTGAGTGCAAACATGTGTCCAATAAGTTGCTTGTTCTAGTTGGGATCTCAACTTCTTTGAGTCGAACAAAAAGCTCGCTCAATCCACGCGGCACGTTCACAAACCATCAACATAGAACCCTGAAGCACTGATGATCTCTGATGGTTCTTTTCTGCAAATCAGTCGTTGTTTTCACCTTTCGAGGGCAGTTTAGGTGCAACAATCGTGAAAACCAGGCTGAAAGCCAACAGATCAAAACCGCGCATAAGTTCAGACAACCCCAGGTTTTTTCTTTTCCTGGATGGAGCCAAGATTCAAACTCATCGCGGATGTTGTCGCAGCGATATCTGCCTCTATTCCGGAAGATCCGAGACCCCGAAGTGGGCACTTCTCGTCCATCGATGTAATGCATCGGGCCCTCATCGATGGGGCACTGGACCACCACGTAGTCCACCTTCTCCAGATTCACCTGAGATCTATGTCATGAAAGGTCAGGAAAGGTCGGCAACCTCGTGAGGGTGAACACAGGTGATGAACTTCTGCAAAAAGGCCGTCTGTGTCGTCTGAACTTCTATCGTCTGTGTGGCTGAAAAGGATACGCCTTGATATTAGCCGATAGATCAACAAGTGATTCAGTGATAGTGTGGCTTCTGCGATTCAGTGTCGCCCCCGGTGGGTTGGAACCAGGGGTGCTGAAACATATTGGAATACGTAAAATGGTCTCTTCCCCCTTCCATCATATCTCAGGGGGCCAATGAATCGGTTTGTGTCCATACGCAGAGGACAATAACGCCCGATTCATTCTATCATGGACTCCACCTTCGAAGTGTTGAAGTCCTGGTCACAGGACTTACTCACAACACCCTGCAGTTCAGGTTCACAGCGAAAGATTGTTTTGTTTTCTTTGGGGCAGGTGCAATCCCAGACTTTGGTGTTTGGGCGGACCAAATAACGTATGAAACACCGAAAGGTCCACCTGATGCAGCCGGGGTTTAAAAAATACGCACTAAACCAATACAGGAGCAATTCTTCATGAATTCCTGTGATTTCACTTGCCACTACTTCAGGTTGCCTAATTGCCAAATGAACCTTCTTCATCATCTCCAAGCTGCTCTGGAGCAGCCTCATGACTGAGGACCTCCCAAACCCGAAACATCCCGTGTTTTTCTCCTTTTGACCTCCTTCTTCACCGGGCCCTCTCCTCCTCTCCGCTCCCCGGCCTGGCCCGGCTTCCGGGGCCCCCTCGAGGCGATCGCGAACACGTCCGCGCGGGCGTTGGCGCCGCCGAAGCCGAAGGAAGAGACGCCGGAGTAGCCGGACTGGTTACCTCGAAACGGAGGTGGTGTGTGGGTATGCCGGAGTAGCAGGTACCTTCCCTTTGGAGCAGGAGAGAGGGAAAGCTTTGAGGCGGAAAGACACGCCGTAGGTGGCTCCGGCTCGGTGAGCAAGGTCTTGTTGAAACTGGGGAGTTAGAGGAGGACATTGAGGACATGCTGAAGTTGACTGCTGCTTGGCAGGATGCTGTTCTAGCTTGGCCTCAACGGGTCGCCCAAGTAGCAGGGTCCACAACGGGTCGAGCTAGTTTCTGGCCAAGAGACATAAGCTCTGGAGACACACACACACAATAAAACCATTGGGAAATCGGAACTTCAACGATCGTCAGATGACTCAGCTTGTCTACTTCGATCGTTTGACTATGATCCACAGATCAGTTGACTTCCTACCAGAACTCTGCAAGCTCTGCGAGCTCGGTACCATACTCTGCAAGCTCGGTGTTGAACACGGTGGGATAGCCGTTGATGTCCAGATGTGGATTCAAGATGTAGAGGTGGCAATTCGGCGTTCCGGCGCAGCTGTTGCACATCAGCATACCTGAAACAAAAGGTGAATGAAGAAAAGAAAGGAGATCAATCTCCCTACAACTAATGTGGGGTGAACAAAAACGAATTGAACATGTGCCAGTTTTCTAGGGGATGTCGGATGTATGGCGTCAAATGATATCAAAACCAACAACGGGTAACAACGGGCAACTCTATACACGACTTTGGGATGTCGATGTCCATTGGTGCACCCCTGGCATGTTGAGAGGACTCCTGAGCTTTCTGGTGGCTTTGAAGATGGACATGATGAAACACATACCATCACAGGAGTGTAGTTTTACGTACCCGAAACATGCTTTTTCATTGATCTCCTGCACATTCATCCAAACAATCTGACCGGCAGAAGAATATGATCGTCCTAACTGAAAGCTTGGGTGTCAAAGTCTAAAAGCATAGGTAGGAGTTATATCCCATGTCCGCCTGCTTTGTTCCTGTCGGACATCTCCAACCAAAGACATCCCAAAACCATGCTTTGGCGTGACGAATGTGTACTTACGAACCCGTGGACGTGCAAATGACGCATTGCGTGGTTTCGTTGACCGGTCATGCTGCCGTGCACCGAGGGCCTCCGAAACAAGCCTCGTATGACTCCTCTTCATGGACGCTTTTTTTCTTGTCGCTCGTGCGGAAATCCACATGCTGAGGCACACTTGATGATTCCAGCCTGTCCAGCATTCGCCTCCAGGTGCCCAATGTGGCTCTTGGCCGAAGTTTGCATGATTGGGGCTTTGCGGTCCTGCCCCATCAGCCACGCGGATGCTGTGGACGTGCGCTGTGGACTGCCAGCGCTGTGCCAGAACGAGTTGGACCCAAACAGGATTGCATGACCAGTGTGAAATCCAAGTGAAGCACCCTTGTTCACCACTGGTTTTGTAAAGGACACAACAATTCAAGGTTACATCATCAAGTTCTATGATCTTTGGGCATGTGCACAGGCGATGGACAGATACTTTTTCTGTCTACATGTTCCATCTATTCTCAGGACATCTGGTCTCAAAGCCCCCATCTTCCCCTATCCAACCTCCACCCACCTCTTCACCTCCACCCCTTCGCGCGGTTTCTGCCCCCTCTTCAGCTCTTCTTCCTCTAAACCCCCCTTGCTCCCTGCTCGCTCCTGCATGACCCCCTTCAAGGCGCCCACTTCGATGGGATCTCCCAGCGCGGTACCGGTGCCATGCAGCTCGGAGCACGTGATCTGGTTGGCCGTCAAGCCCGCCTCGCGCATGGAGCCGCGCACGCACTCCTGCTGCGAAGGGCCATTGGGCGCCGTCATGCTGGCGCTCCTGACGGAGGGACCAGGGCGGTGGAGGTGGAGGACTGGAGGACGGTGGAGGACGGGGTATTTGGTTGAAAGAGGTTGGAAGGCAGTTACTGCACCGTTCTTTGCTTTGTCATGGATGTGCCGTCTTTATTGGCAGGATCTGGTAGATCCTGTTGAAATGGTAGGGTGAACGATCACATCTCTATTCTCGGTGCAAGATCTCTTTTTGATTCTGCAAGCAAACGGGTTGAATCACCCAAACCTGGATTTTCTCAACTCTGACCAGCGCCCTGCCCTGCCAGCGCCGTCCTGCCATCTTGGTTCAAGCAAGCACCGATCACCGTGGCCAATGCTTCTCTGGGCACACTTTCTTCACTCCGTGCAAAGAAGCACGAAGAGCCCTCGCCGCGTTCGAAGCCATCCGCGGACATGTCAAAGGTGAAACATCGCCCAGCCACAGACAACATATGAGGTCCACAGAGGTTGATGTAATTCCCGGGACCTGGCGTCAGGTATTGTCAGGGTGGAACTGCCAAACATCTGTGAACTCAGATGCCTGGACCAGGTGCTCCGTAGTGTGCTCCGATGGCATCATGGTCGACAAAAAAGCAAACTTGATATGTACATCTCCATTCACCATTACATAATATACACATATATATATATATATTATAATTGATTTGATGGAAAAGCACAGTTCCAAACTAAGCACCACTGCCTGGTGCCCCCACGCCCCCACGCCCAGCCTGGAATGAGGTTGGCCCCGCCCATCAACGCTTCGGAGATGTCGGAGTTCGCGCCCGCCATTGGCTGATCCAGCATGCTTCGCCGTAGCGCGGTGTGTCCTGAACGGGGACCCGATGGGATGGGACGACAAAGGATGTGGATTTGGAGATATTTTGGGTGTTACTAGCAAGTTACTAGTAGCTTCTTGCTACTAGTAGTTATTGGCCTCCTAGCAATGGCCTCCAACCTAGTAGCTTCTTGCTACTAGTGTGGAATACGGAGACCACCTGGCGGCTGGGTAGACTGGTCTATGCTCCGAACTGAAGGGCGCGTTGACACCAAGCCCAGAAATGCCCAGTACTGGTAGCGTGAGTCTGAGAGGATGACATGTGCGGGGGAATCCGTCCGGTTCATGGGAGAACTATGACTGGGAATGCCCAGTGGTCTCTTGACTATCTGTACTCTGTCACAAGACCTGCTAGAAACGTTCGTGGTCCCCATCAATGTTCCTGCAACCCGTCTGCCATCTAGTCTTCTGAACTCACCACCCAACGAAAAGCAAAGACTAAACACAACTTCCTGTTGAGCTTTTGCGGGTCATAGATCAAAACGGATTCCATTCAGTTTGCATCTTGGAAACCCTGAAACCATCCGTTTCGCTCGGCTTTTTCCACCTCTCTTTGAACACCGCCTCCGTCACTCACCCAGACATCGACCGCCGTGCGTTTTCTCCATCGCTCCTACACCGTAGGCCACTAGCGCGGAGGAGCACGCAGTGTCGAGCAATGCCTGGGGCCCCTTCAGGCCCAGGATATATGCGATACGACCTGGCGACACCACGCGGAGTTGAAAAAGATGTGGATGCGACGGATTAGATGCTGAGGAGTTGCACAGGGGCGAGAGGATGTTTTTGAGGAGTCGTGGATGAGTGAGTCGAGGACTTGCGCAAATTGAACTTGCGCAAATTGAAAGAGTGATTGAAACAAACTCCGTAGCCATTTTGGATCAAGCCACCAGTTTGCTCCAAGTGCCTTGACAGGCTTAGGCTTAGGGTGAGAGCACAGCAAACCAGGCGCTCACTTGGCAACCCTGGCCCGAACTTAGGAGCTGACCAAACAAGAGAAAAGGTGTTTGGTTTGTCTTCGTTTAGGGAAAGTATCCACTACTACTGAGTGAATAGAATATAATAGAATGGGCTTTCTGGGTAACATGGCAATCACGTGAAATGGCAGAAAAACACACCTTTCTTGAGAGCAGCCAATGGGCTCTTTGCTGTCCAAAAACCTGTCCCGTCCCAACTTCAGATGCATCCTTGGTGAATCCATGGGAGAGAGTCAGAGACTGAAGTCACCAGTCTGATCCCAGCTGCAACCCACAAAAACGTCACATGATCGCTTCATTTTTGTCTTCACGAGCTCATGCCATGCTTCCTCTACATCCATTCACCCTCAGTTCCTTGGGCGTCCCACCGGTCAGTCCCCACCGGTCCCCACCACTGGCGCTCCGAGGTTCCCAGGCGTGCCCAGGGGACCCCTGCCGTGCCCGTTCGACGAACGCGCGCGCCCGCGCGCCCGCGCGCGCGCCTGCGATGCAGGACCACTTCCTCGCCTGGTATCCAAACCTCGATGGTTGGCAAAAGCGCGACACACACGCGACACACGTGGACACACGTGGACACACGTGGGCATGGCATGGCTTTTCACAGCCGTTGGGTTGCGTGCATGGCATTTCTGATCATTTCTGCACTCCACTGGGTTTCTCGCATGTCACTCGTCCCTTTCTGGAGCTCCTTTTTGAGGGCTAGGGGTGCACAAGCATACACAGTCTCCATGAACGAAGGTCATTATGGTCATTGGTCAACAGAACAGCCGGGGATGCTAGTGAAAGGGGGGTGTAAGCCGTAAGCTGGCATAATTCCTCTCCAAGGGGGTCATGAACCTCGGATTCTACCCACACACCAGCTTTCTTCTTCGAACTCCAACAAACAGCTGCTTGAAGCTGAGCTTACTTAGGTGCTATGATGTGCTATGACCACCTCCACACCTCTGCCCAGCTGGGCCCAGCTGGGAAGCTTGGTTTGGACCCATGGAACACTCAGCTGGTTTCGTTTCTCCTCAAGTTGCCCAGGAGCTTGTGCATGTCTTCACCGCCAGAGGTGAACCTAGGATCCACGCTCCAGTCATCACCGGAGTGACCGATGTAGACACCCATGCGACGTCCGTGGACATCTTTCCTTGACACGCCCGAGTTGAACAAGGCCTGCCGAGTTGAACAAGGCAGAGATGGGTCTGACCCATCGCAGGGTGGCAACGGTTTGGGCCTGAAAAAAGGCACAGAAAAGGAAAAGCAGGACAGTTCTTGAAACAAAATGCATGCATCTTTGGCAACCGGTACAGAAAAGGCTGGGCATTACCCTGAAGACACATTTCGCCGTGGCATCATGCTGTTAACATAACAATGCAAAATACAAGAGCTGCATAGAGTTGGTAATCCTCCTTTTCTGGCCTCGTAGCTCCTCTCTAAGAGCTGCTTATTCGCAGGAGCCAAAAGCCAGGCTTCCTGCTCTGGCACATTGAAGAAGTCGTTGTCAAAGCTAAAAATGTCCTCTCGTCTGCGAGAGAGAAGTGCGGTGGAGCTGCGGAAGGATCTGGGACAAAACCAAGAAATGCGGGCCATTGCACTTGCTGGGAATAGCACAGTCTTTCAGGTGAGCTATCTTTAAGCCCACGTGGGGCTCTTATTCTATCGTAACTTAATAGGAACATGAGTCAACCAAAGGAATCGCCACCCATGAGTACATCTTTCCATTGCTTAGTACGAATGGAGCTTGTAAGCTCCGTGTACTTCCTCCAAACTCCTCAATCAGTGAATCCCGCCGCTTGATCAGTCTTGCATAGTCTTGCTGCTTGGCAAGTTCAGGTCTGCGAGGTTGTTTTTGACAGGGACCCCGGAACGGTGGCTTGCCATTTCAACTTCGAAGTTGGCCTCCTGAAGTAGAGTGGGGTCAACTGCACACTCTTTGCAGCCGCCCTATGTCCTATAAATCCACTCTTGCAAAGGAATAGCCAGTTGAGATTTGACCCACACCAAAGTCAAGCCACATTCTTGGGCAGCATCTCCGCTGTACAAGGCCTGGAAAAAAATCCCTCCGATGTCGAAGCACATCTGGTAAACCCAACATGCGGTTGTCAACTTAGACACTTTAGATGACACCGCAAGACAAACACTTTGATAGTGATGACACTTGGTCAACATGTGTTTGACTCTTTGACACTTTAGACATCGCAAGTCAGCGGTCCTTTGAGGCGAATTTGGATCTACGGACCGAGCGGATCGGTCGGTCAGCGTTGCTCGGTCCGAATCGCAGGACCCTTGAAGGGATGGGCCATAAGGATTCACGCATGGGTCGATTCGCCCCCAAAAATGGCTACACAGGTGTCAGATTCCTGCCTGTTTTTGCGTTCCTTGGGCTGAAAACACGGGATTTGGCGAATGCAAAGACTCTTTCGCACCCAGCAGTCCTTGCAATATCCTCCATGGATGGTGTAGGTCCACCCAATTTGCCAGTCATCTCCAGTCCTTGTGTATTGATCGATGTCAAAGCGCTCAATTGGGGCTTTGACGTAGCCATCCGTCCCAGCTGCAATACCTCACTAGCCGTGGAAGATAGAGGTATCCATGTCTGGCTGGTCTCTGCTGTTCATTTGGGGTGGTCAACCTGACCATGCCCATGATTATCCATTCTTTCTTTTGGATGGATGGTCCGTTTTGACTCCTAGAAAGGAAAGCAAATGCACGATTTCGTGGGTTGGACATCCAAATCTTCTGAAGCGTAAGTGAAGTACCACACCAATAGTGCGCTAGGTAATCTTGCGCAGCAGCTGGCAGTGATACGCCCACGCCGAAGACGCAGATCCTGGTTCAGCGACTCAAAGGCCGTTGAAAGACAAAGCCCACCCCGGCCACACAAAGCCCTTGAATTCAACGGATTCCGAGCAAGAGGAGACCTTGAAAGCAGACCTTTTCAAACAAGTTGACACGGGCACATTTGGCTGGTTACACCAACCTGACCAAGCAGTCCACGCAGTCCACGCAGTCCTGCGCCCTTCTGGGGTGTTGGGCCCGGCAACCAGTCCGAAGGCTTCATCTTTGGACTTTTGATCTCCTTCTGTCATCGCAACCTGTGGAGAGTTCTGAAGAAGCTAAGAGGTTCCTCCAACGATCAGGGTGTGGCCCCTGGACAAAGCACCAAAGGAGCTAATACTGAAGCTCAGGAAGTTAAGGTGGTTGTTTGGAGCGACCGTAGTGCAAGGGCCTCAAAGGCATATCTATGAAATCTTCTGGCTTCTCATCTCTCTTGTGTGTGTACGTCTTTTTTTGCCAGAGTTGCGCTGCGTTCGGAACCATGCTCACTTCTCCACTCAAAGACTGAACACTAAACTCTGCAGAATCCTACTCAACGAAACCCTTTGCACAAAAGACGCAAAGCCCTTGCACGCGCAAACCGCGCCCGCGCAGTGCTTCACGTTTCCAGCGCGCAGTAGCTGGTCGCGTCACTGTCGACATGAAGCCACAGGCTCAAAGGCGAAGGTTCTACTTGTAGCGTCCTTGTTACTAGTAGCAATGCCCTTGTTACTAGTAGCTTCTTGTTCCTAGTAGTAATGCCAGGAGCTACTAGTAGCGTCCTTGCTACTAATGCAGTTGGGATCTCTGGGGCTGGGAGTCATGGCACCTGGTGCCCTGAAGTCTCCCTGGTAGCTTGATCTCCTTGGTGGTCTATTCTGTTCATTTTCGTTGGTTAAAATCAGGATCCCCCGGTGCCACCATGTGCCACCCACACTCACATCTTGCCTGGATCCGTCTGTTCCCGAACCGTCCAGCCCACCCGCGCGTGAAGAACCCGCGGCGAAAACAGCCCACCCCTTCGCGAACGGCCTGAAATTGCGCTGGCGCCGTCAGCACCCAACCTGGGAATCGGCCCGTCTCGAGTTCTCGAGTCACTGATCGGAGTGGTTCTTCACCTTTCCATCCCTCAGGTGTAAAAGGTCACTTGCGACTTAGGCCTCTAAAAGGTCACAAACAGAGACGAACACAAAAGGTCATGAACTGAAGAAGCTGGTCAGTGCTTTTAACTTTACCTTTTGCTTTATAGAATGCGAGTTCAGAGGATCGAAACAGCTCGAGTTTTGATCCACACCGGGGTCGGAACAGGGTGGGAAAACATGGCAGGCTGTGGCTCAAGCGAAGGTACCAGCTATATAGTAGTACCAGCAGGATTTTCAGTCGTGGGTGGGGCAAAAGGATCGCACAAAATAAAACAAGCCAGAACTAGCTTGGCGGAACTGCACCGCACAAATCATCAAGGGACTCCAAAACAATTGCGGGACTCCCTTCTTGTGAAGTCCCAAAGTGGAAAACTCCCACTCCACAAGATATCATGAGATGACTATTTTTGGAAAACAATCAGGTCCCAACTCATAAAGAAAACAAATAAAACAGCTCCTTCTAATTGATACTTCACCTCGATGAAGGTTTCAAATCGAGGATTGGAAGTCGGGTAAAGACTCCGTTGAAGGCTAGAGAATCCACAAGTATCCAAGAGGAAATGCACAAGACTCTGCTGTATCCTGTTCACGTGATATCTGTAGAGAAGCCAGTCCACAAAGTGCTTTTCATATATTAATGGGCCAAAAATCACCACAATGGAAGGAATTTCTCCAAAACTGGAGGACCAAGAGTGTGAAACAACTGCGCCAGCAAGAAGCGTGCCTTCATGTGCCTTCCTCGTTCCTTGCCATCCTCATTTGCTCGTCTGATTTACTCCCAAACAAGTCAATAAACAAGGCTTTGACCACACGTTTCAAGCCGAATCTTTGATCTGGACCATCGTTTGAACTTGAGAAAAGGAAGATCGGTCAGGGAGGCTTCCAGGTATGAGGAACAAGGCTTGTGGGCTTTATGATCCTTTCGAGCTTGCCTGGAGAATGGTCAAATGATCTGTGTCTCGGAATGTTCTCCCAACCTCTCTAATTGCTTTGAAACTGCCCGTTTTGGTAGTTAGGACCCGAGCATTTCAAGCGCACTAGGAAGAGTAGCCAGATTGGGAATGTCATCCATGCTTCTCTGGTTTCCGCCAAAACTAGTGTAGTGTGCCATGCGATGTTCGGTCTTGTCTTGTGGATGTCCATTTGGACCCAAACGGACCCTTCCACCATGATTTGCTATGTTCCAAGCAACCCTGTAGAACCAAATCCTCCTCTGAGTCAGGGCGGTAGGCGTAGCTAATTCGATCGTGGCGGAAGATCACGAGGCGTCCCGCTTCGGCGCTCAAGGTGACTTGATCTCCATCCTTTGGATAGAGAGAAAGCCTCAGAGCTACTAGGAGCAAAGAGCATCGCAACTAGGAACAAGAAGCTACCAGCAGCTCCTGGCCAGGCCTCCTGGCATTACTACTAGTAGCAAGAAGCTAGGAACGGAGCAAAGAGTGTCCCCTTCGATCCAATGAGGGGCGACATCGGACCGTCCGGTGTGCGACATGGGTGCGACATGGCGTGTCAAAGCTGGGGTCTATATAGGTGGACCCTAAAGCCTGAAGAAGCCAGAATCCCAAGCTGGAGAACCCGACTTACGGTTCTAACGTCCCGTTCTTCCCTTCGATAGATCAACCCAACAATGCCCAAGGTGCGGATGAATTTGCTAGCAGAGAATACGCATCTTTGCCAAAGTTTGGTGATATCTTTGCATTTCACCGAGACAAAGGAACCGCGAAGAGTAAATGAAAGCAATGCATCCTGCTTAATTCTCATCAGGAAGCTCCGATCCACCCGGCCTACCCCAAAGGTCAAGTACTCTTGAGTACTCGAGTGTTTCGACTACGGCGCACTCCGACAGCACGCCCCGCACGGTGCTCCGTCACAGCGCTTCAAGGTCTAAGGAGCTCTCCGCCACTTCCATCCACGATGAGGAACATGCAGAGCTTTCGGCGCCTTCGGGTTGGGTTTGGAAGATAGGAGACTTCCAATGAAAAAGAACGGCCCACCTCGGAGAATTCAACCAAAGGCATAGAGCCCGATGATGAGATTTCTACTCGGTGGGTGTGTTATATGGGCCACCCGCAAACCACGATTGCTCCATCTTTTTTGAAATGGGGAACACATCTCATCAGAACATCTTACCTGACGGACTTATTGTAGGATACTTCCAAAGCACCAAAGCAACAACCATGATCAAGTCTCACCAACACGGAAATGGACACCCCCCTGAACATAAAAGGAGAAGAGTGTTCATCCCAATTCTATCCACCGATGTGAGTGCAAGTGTAGGACTGACACAAACCCCAGCCTCAAGAAGTCCACGTGCTCATCCACTAAGCCCTTGGCGATGTCTTCCTCGCTCACGGTTTCTGCCACAGTCAACTGATCTGAGGTGGCAGGGATCCGGAGCATGCCAGAGGTACGGCTGTGCGGCATGAAGTCCAAAGCAAAGGGTGCCACCTTGGTCCACGCGACACGCGACGCCTGCGCCACCTCCTTGGTGTGGCTCCAACCCTCATGGCCCCCACCCCATGGCACCCATCGGGTTTGTAGTCTTCCCAAGCCTTCCCGGTACATCGGTGGACTGTGGACTAGTACTCCTCTGTTTCCAGGCTTTCCAAGACGGCACATGATCTGAAACCCTTGGCAAGAACAGCTTCCCCCCAAAAGCGAGGACATCGGATTTCGACACCTGGGAGGTGTTGACTTGGCCAGCTTTCTTGGAATCTCGGCAAAACAGCTGCAAATCATTCAATTGGCGAACAGCAAGCCAGCAATTTTCAATGAACTTGGATTCTTCGAAGGCAATAAAGCTTCCGCCAGTCCAAAGTACGATGAAAGCTCATTTTGTGAACTATTCGCATTCCAACAGGCTCCAGGAAAACCGTCAAACCGAGTGCAGCTGAACACAGCCAAGCTTTGCTGGGTTGGCTGAAATCCTTTCAGAGCCAAGCTTCAGGTAGCAGAAACTGTGTAAAGCGAGCCAAATACAAGTCCAGTGGATCAATTGGAGTGTCCTGAGACGTCTCACGCGAGCACACACCGACGCGCCAAGCAAGCGAGCTCCCTGCGAAAAAAGAACACACACGCACTGCCAGGTCGTTTTCGTCCTGCTCCATGCTTTCTCAAAACAACCAGGACAAACCCAGGACAAACGACCAGCCTTTTCTTAGCAAACTCAAGGGCCTGGACAATTGTTTCAACATCTTAGCACATGGGCGTGTATTGGTACAATTAGAATAGGGATACACCCGAAAGACTCCCTGGAAGAAGGAACATCGACCACAACTCATTCATGGAAAGTTCCCTATGTTTCCCTCTTCACATACAAAGCCACATCCAAAAACCAACAAACACACCAACATGGTGGGCCCTGATTTTAGGCCCCAAGACGGACATCGGTCAGACCGACTGTTTCACGACCGTTCTCTCCTGTTCGGTCCCTTAAAAAGAACACCTGAGACGTCTGGTTGGGGACGATCTGGAGTCGCAGATCGGGACGGTCTGACTAGGCTGCGCACCATTTCTGGCTTCTCTTCGACCATCTCATCGAGCCATGCAGTTTTGCATTTCCTAGGCTTGGACCCCGTTCTCGGTGGATCTATGGCAAGACGACAAGACGGCATGTGTCCAACACAGAAATCCGAAAGCAAATAAACATGGTGGAACATTGTGATGGTCGACTTCGGGAGCTTTTCTTAGGCCCCAAAAAGTGCCCCCCCCAAGGCAGCCGACTTTTCTTTGGGGAGTCAGCTGTTGGGTCTTGGGCCTTTTGACCAGCTTGAAATGCGTCTTGCAGAGACATTGTTTCAAAAATAGGACTGGCCAACTCGGTGGCTTCAAGGGCACCTGAAATGACTGAAAACAGTCTGAAGTGCAGTCTGAGTATCTGATGCTTTCCCACATATGCTGGTTCAAACTCGCGGCGCAGTCGCTTCCATCGAAACCTGCGGTATTTGGGGTGCTCCCAACAATGTCCAGAGATCTTGGAACACCACCATACATACACACGTACTATAATATATATATATATATATATAGTATGTATATATGCATGAAACTCGACCCTTTGAACGTTCTCAGTGTGGGTGTTCGACCATGTTCCACCGCTCGTCACGTGGGAAAGCATCGCAACTCCCACCCCGGCTTCGCCGCGCCGCGCAGTGCCGCGCCGCGAAACGCGCTGCGGCCTACCGCACTTCACTTCAACAGCAGCCTCGGAGGTCATGTCCTCACCTGAGTGTCTGTGGTGGAAGCCGCGGCACCGCCCCGTGCGGTCTCGAAGCCAGACTGCGAGACGGTGGGACGAAGCCCGCGAGACTGGGGTGCCTTGTTGAAGTCTCAATGTGATGGGAAGTAAAGGACTGGAAAGAACGAAAACACCACCGTGCTCAACCCGTGCAAATGACAACAACTCACCCCTGTGGACTCTTTTTGGTGCCTCGTGTGGATGCAAATCCATCAGACCTACTGAAAGTCATTTCACCCTATGATGAGTATGCAAGCGACGTGAAGTCTTTAAGTTTCACGCTTCTTTTCGCCACTTTCGCACCCCTTTCCTGCACAAATATCTCCTTGGGTCCCCAAGCTGAGAGGAAGCTGTACTACGCAGTAGCCCTCCTTGGCGAGAGCCTCTACAGCCGTAGCAGTGAAACCTGCCAGCGCCTCCATGTTGCCTGGCACGCGGTGCACAGGCCGTGAAACCGCCCCACCACCCAATCATCAAGCGACAAGAGAATGTAAACACAAACACCAAAACCTGGTGCTCATACAGAAACATCTATATACTATCAATGGATGCTCTATGATGATTTATAACTTGGCATTCCGAGTACAGAATCACAAGCAACCGATCTTTTCCACCCCACCGGGCCCCCGAAGCCGAAGCGGCGGGTTCCTTCAACCCATCGTCCAGTGTCCACCCGTTCCGGCCTTCTGGAGGCCATGCCACATGAAATCCGCCCCTCTCAGGGTGCTGCGGCGCAAACTCCTTGTCGGACCATCGGACCCGGACGGTTCGGCAGACACCGGGGACCGGGGACGGTTCGGGAGAGCCGAACACACCGAACACACCGAGGACAACGCTGAGAGATGGTCCCTTGGAAGAGCTACAATATGTCTCTGTATAAGCTGAAAAGGAGGACCTGTCGAGCCAGAAGAGGATGCAGTCGTCCCCTAATCGTGGCACCATCCAACATCACATTCTCGTAGACCTCGGCCGCTCTGAACCTTCCAACCTGCCGGGTCCTTGAGGTGGTCAGGCTGCACCTTTATCCGGAGGCCTGGCCCAGTGGGTGGTTGCAGAAGTACTTGACATCCACGACTTTTGCTCGGTGTGAGCTACAACGCCTCGTATCCCTTCCCAACCGTTGGAGGCCATTTGGGATCGTGCGTTTGACGGTCTCACACAGGCCACCGGGGATGGAGCATTCCCGGCAACATGAATCCATGTACGTCTGCAGGGTCTTGACATTGCTCCAAGAGTATGCTCGTGTTAGCTTGATGAGCTCTCGAGGGTTTGGATGGGAAAGTCTATGAGCCTATTCATGCCTATGTTTGTTGCCTTCTCATGCCTATGTCTGTTGCCTTCGTCTCGCGTCTCTAACACGTCGCCTCGGAATGTTTCAACGAGGACCTTCCCATCTGACAGGTACTGCACCACCTCACGCTCCGTCACGTCCGGTGGTCGAACAGAGGGGAGAGAGAGGCACGAACCCGACGCCAAAAGTCGATTCATTTGGACCTCCCGGGGTGGAAAACCTCCGGGGGTGGAGAAAGACATGGGGGGTGATGAACCAAAGCTGTCTTTTCTTTTGAACATAGAAGCCATGTCAGTCAGCTCAGTCCTTTGACCTAGAAATGACATCTGATGATGTGTCCGAAAGCATGCCAATGCTACTGTTGCTGCTGTGTGACTGTCATCCAAGCAATCCTGACTTCTGCAACCGCAGAAGAAACCGCAGAAGAAACCGCCCGATGCAGCCAGGCACCAGCCCTCTCCAACCATTTGGTCGGAATTGGGTCTCCCTTAGCTCTTCCGACTCAACCAAAAGGTCCTGCACGGGCAGCTCTCACCGGCCCACACCCGGCAACCCCCCAACCGACGGTGTGGGGTTTATTTCACGCGTGGGTTCGTGGTGCATCACGTCACGCAGTCGAGCAGTGTGACGCGTGTGACGCTGCAGTCGGTGGTAGGTCCGATTCCAAACTGGTTCACCCAGTCCAGATCAGTTTTGCCAGCAAACATGCAACCCACCTCTTGGAAGCCTTCGAAGCGCTTTCTTCGAGACAAGCATCCAGGTAGACCCGGTCTGAGTGGTGGGCATCCAAGGATCCAAGCAGAACAGACCGTGGAGGAAGAGATCGTCAGGAGCTTCGGAGATCTTTCCAAGGGTAGCAGGAAATTTCTTCCAGAACATTTTGGACCCGCTCCTACCAGGTCCAGTGGGATTTTCTGTCGCTCCCCAATCAGGCTGATGGTTGGAGGGTCCCGCATCTTTTTAAACAGAAGGGGTAGCCATGGGGGGTGGAGTGGGTGTAGATTGTAGAAACGCAGGTTTTGTAAGGATAGTGATATGTAAGCAATAGCAAGTGCAAAATATATTCTGAAAACAATAGACACACCAAGAAAAACAATAAGTTTAGACCAAAAAATGACAAAAAAAACAGTTCAGACCTATGTCTCCTGTCCAGCCTCTCCTGGGTATCTGTCCATGGGTCTGAACTTTTTTTTTTTGCTTTTGGCTGGTCTGCCCAAAAGTGACCAAGCACAAAAACAATACAAACAGTTCAGACCTATGTCTCCTGGCCAGCCTCTCCTGGGTATCTGTCCATGAGTCTGAACATTTTTTTGGTTTTGGCTGGTCTGCCCAAAAGTGACCAACAACAAAAAAACAAAAAGTTCAGACCTATGCCTCCTGCCCAGCCTCTCCTGGGTATCTGTCCATGGGTCTGAACTTTTTGTTGGTTTTTGTTTTTTTTAGTTTTGGCTGGTCTGCCCAAAAGTGACCAAAAACCAAAGAAACAAAAAGTTCAGACCTATGCCTCCTGTCCAGCCTCTCCTGGGTATCTGTCCATGGGTCTGAACTTTTTGTTTTTTGGGATTTTTTTGGTTTTGGCTGGTCTGCCCAAAAGTGACCAAAAACAAACAAAAACAAACAAGTTCAGACCTATGTCTCCTGTCCAGCCTCTCCTGGGTATCTGTCCATGGGTCTGAACTTTTTGTTGTTTTTTGTTTTTTTGCTTTTGGCTGGTCTGCCCAAAAGTGACCAAAAACCAAAAACACAAAAACAATACAAACAGTTCAGACCTATGTCTCCTGTCCAGCCTCTCCTGGGTCCCTGTCCATGGGTCTGTCAAAAAGTGCACGCAAATTATTTCTCATTCATTCTAATTAACACCAGTTCAATTCTAATTTACATTCAAATGTGCGTCTAATTGAACTTTAAATTGAATCTAACTTGAGTATGTAATACACTTCTACTTTAATTCTAAGTGGAGCCTAATTGAATTCTAAACTAAGTCTATGTAGTTTAAAGTTCGTTGTAATCAAATTCTAAATTCAATTTTTATTCTAATTCAATTCTATTATAATTCTAATTCTCTTTGACTACTTTGGGTCTAATACTAAATTCAAATTTGAGTTTAAATGTGAATTTGCAACATGTTTCTAATTCAATTCTAAGTTGAGCATAACTGAATTCAATATAATTGAATTCAAAGTGAGTCTGCAATTTTATTCTAGGCAAATTCCAATTGAATCTATTTATAATCTAATTCTAAGTCAATATTGTTCTACTAACCAGGCCCTAGGTTAAACGACGCCAATTCAAGCCTAACTCAATGTCAATTTAAGTATTGTTTTTTGATTTAATGTTGTTCCTTCAATTCCAACTTAATTCCAATTTATTTCTAATGTACTTCTATTTTATTCTGCTTTGGATTAGATTGTAATTTTGTCTATTTCAATGTATTTGTAAGTGATTTCTAATGTTAATGCCTTTATATTTCAGATTTACCTGTTTTACACATCTAATTTTACACTATTGTCATTGCTATTTAGTTTTGATTTCTATATGTCTAATCTAGGTCTAAATTTGATTCCAATTCAATGTAAATGGAATTCTAATTGAGTGTTGATTTCATTCTAGAGAGTGGGTGTTGCTGGGGGTATGAATTTATGTCATTTAAGAAAGCAAATGCTTCCATGTTTGAAAAAAATCATAAAAATCTCTCATGCTCAAAGCAACACCAACTCCCTAGAAGTAAATGAGAATTTCATAAAAACATTAAATTGAAATAAATGAAAATTTCATAAAAAACCTAAAAGTAAATTGAAAACGAATAAAACAATAGAATTGAAATTGAATTGTATAGCAGGTAGCTTAAAAGCAACTTAAAATTTGGCTTGCATCAAACCCCAAATAAATTGAACTAGACTTAAATCTGAATTTAAATATGAAGTTGAACTAAATTAGAATTTGGTTATTTAGGGTGTGTAGTTCTTTGCCTTCTGATTCTGATGTACTTACCCAATTGCGTTCAATAAGAACAATACAATTCACACTCTAAAAGCAAGAAATATGGGTTTGCATGGGGGCTGCGTGGAAATAGATTACTGCATCCAAAAACTTTTTAGTAAACACCTAACCTTTGGGATTTATGAATTTTTGTAGTACATAGTTGAATGAACTAATATGCGTACCAACTGCACATAGAGCAAAAAAAATCACTAATTTTAGAATCCTATCAATGTGGTATCATCCCCAAACAGAGCAAAACCTTACAAAATCACAACTTTCACAACCCTATCAATGTGATATCATTTGCAAAAAAAAAGGCAAAACCTTACAAAATCACAACTTTCACAACCCTATCAATGTGATATCATTTGCAAAAAAAAAGGCAACATCTTATAAAATCACAACTTTCACAACCCTATCA